CAGCAGCAGCAGCAACAGCAGCAATAATAACAATAGCACTCCCATTCATAGAAAGACTGCCCTAGCTAGTGTGGAAGAAGTGGAACCCTGGCGCCGATGTATCCTACATATACCATATACCCATAGCTCCTTGTATCTCCCTAAATCCTTACATCTCCCTACGTGAGGTGAGCTACAGCGTAAATGCCTCGGATCCCCCTCAGTAAGCCCTGTAAAAGTACCCTATACAACCACCTATATAAACCCCTTCAGGAGTTTAGACCCTCAACCCTAGACCGTATAAATTCCCCTGTGTAACCCCCTTTAAGTAGTTAACAGCCTAAACCCTAAACCCTAAACCCTATAACATCCCCCACATAACCCCCTTTAACGAGTTTAGACATCCCCCAATGCAAGCCTAAGGAAATGACCTTCTAAGGCCGGGACTCACCCTCCTTCGCCACAGGGTCTCCCTTGCTGGGCGCACCGCTCAGGTCCAAGTTCCTTGTCTTGGTTCGGGATTTTGGGTTTAAGATGTAGGTGTTGGGGATGTTTGGATTTGGAGAAAAAAAAAAGGTTGAACGTTGAGGATCTAGATTCCAGCCATGCGGTTTTGGGTTGTACGGCTCTCTGGGACCATCGGAACATCTATCCAGCCTAGGCTTTCCATGTATTTTTGGTCAGTGCTAACGAAGTAGCAGTAGTATCAGAACTTTATTTGGCATGTTTGGAGGGCATAAAATTGAATTGGAAGTTCAGCGGCTTGAAAAAGACCCCCTTCGAAGCAACCGAAAGTAGGTCACATCATACCCACTGGAGTGTCAAAGCTCCAAACTCAATCTTGTTTCCGTTTTCATAGTATGCTGTATTGCCGTCACCTATGTTTGCCAAACGTGCAGACATGGTCTTTGTGCAGAATCCAGGACATGACAAGAATGATCTCTTGCACATCGTGAACCAATTTGAAGTTGTCGTTGATCTTTCCCAACTTGTATTCGCAAGTTGGAAAGACTGTATGGCTGGGAAGTGCAACTTGTGAAACGCCCCTATAGATGAAACACTTCAATGCCTTCCATGTACAAAGATCTACTGTGTCGTCCTGGAGTCATTTGACATGCGGTAGCATTGCGCAACGATCCATTCGTGATGCCTTCCGTGACGATGATTCGGCTTACGTATTGCTAAACTACGTGCTGCTGGTTTCCTCGTCAAATAATTCAATATCTTCTCGTGGTGTCCTACTGCTATCCACTGTTCCTTATTACGCGTTGCAATAAACCCTTGCCTATGCGGGGCAAGAACACCCATGTTCTGGCTTGCTCTCATCAAAATTATTCCTGCCTTCCTACAAGAAGACAAATCCTTAAGTTTGTCGTGTAACGGCGGCACTCTCTGTTTCAGTATTCTGGTTTAACAACCTGCCGCATTGGGTCAGCAGTCTCAGCTTCCGATTTGGTAGTTTGATTTTCGTGTTTTTCATGTTGTAGAAACCTTTTCAACCCGAGCATCACGATTCATTCGCAAGATATTGAATACCGTTTGATGCTTGTTGAAGTCCCTTCATCTCGAATACAGTCGATCCATCGAGGTCAGGGGTTTGTAATATGGAGTCAAGAATGTTTCTCTTCCAATAAATGGAGCTTTGAGCTTTATCCCAGAATGGGTATAGATGTGTGTATGTTGCTATAGCATGCGATTGCAGCAACCATCTAGGCTGATAAACGTACGTTGAAACCTGTTGGAACGTCTTGAGCTTGAAGCAAGTTGAAGGTTGGATATCTTGCGAAACACGACGAAAAAAACAGCTTGCAGGGCTTTGACTGAAGGCCTTGAAACTCCAAAGAAGACATTGAAGAAAAGCTCCAACACACGCTGCAGACGCTTGACTTAAAAACTCCGAGAGTTTAGTAATACATTCCCAAGCTTTGAGATTCGGAGCGTTTCGAGCCTGGCCTCTTTCCAAGACGGTTCTACCGAGAGCTCTGACAGTCTCACGGGTTTGGCGAGGGATTGCTCGAACACCAAAATCGTGCTACCTGTACAACCCAAGCGCGTAAAGCTCCTCTGCAACCAGGGCACAGCTTGGTCAGGGTCCCTGCTATGTCCACCTGCACGCCAAGCAGAAAGCTTTGCGCTGCAGCTTGACTAAGGCAATCAGATGCAATCAGAGCTCCATTCTTCAAAGCTCCGAAGACATCCCCAGAAGCATGGATCCATGATCCCATGATCAGAGCCCCTTCCAAAGATACTGAAGGATGACGTCGGCAGTTGTCTATGCACTGGCTGTTGTCGCTGCCAGGCCTGATTCTCACCCTTCGAATCAACGGTGTCCACGGACACCTCTTCAAAGGCCAACAGTTGCAGAGAAGAGGAAGACGAGAAGGGAGAGCAGCAGCTTTAGAAGCAGCAGCCAGCGGCAGTAGCAGTGTAAGTATGAGAGGCCATGATTCAGGGCTCAAAAAATGATGGTACCTGTACTGGTGGTGGCTACTACTAGCATGTACTAGCAGAACGAATCATGAAAGTAGTACTAGTAGTACTAACAATACTAGCAATGCCAAGAAAACCCAAATAGTAGTACTGGTACTGTACTAGTGCTGGTACTACTAGTAGTTGTAGTACTAATAATAGGAAGGGTAGTGGTTGTTGTTGGCCTTGTTGTTATGGTTGTAGCAGCGCCACCAGCAACAGCAGCAGCAACACCATCAAAAGCAATGCTGGCTTCGTAGCAGCAGCAGCAGCAGCAGAAGCACCACCACCACCACCACCACCACCACCAGCACCACCATCACCTCCACCACCTCCACCACCACCAACACCATCACCACCACCGCAGCTCCCGCCAGTTCTTATCTAGGTGAGCTTCCACTAACACCTGCTAGAATAGCGCAGACAGTCAACGTGATAGATGTGATTGCAGTTTCACAAGTCCTACAGGACGCAACTCGGTGCTTTCGGATAAGGTTGAGATAAGAGACTCATCAGCTGCTCCTAGCAAGCAACTGCATGACCCCTCAGGACCTCATCGCACCGGATATGAGGAAAGGTGATGTTCAATCCTATCCTTGGTGCTCGGCGAAAGCATAAGTGTGTCATCCTGTTTGTTTTTCAGAGTCCCGGACCGCTACTTAGTTGAATTATTCATGGCTTCATGTTCCCCTAAACTTCAAGCAGAATCCTTCCGGCGCCAGATTCGCACAAGCCCCTTCTACGATTCTCAGTGTTTGCAGGTTTCCCATAAGGCATGCAGATCGCCGGCAAGGCCATACATGGTCGATTCCAAGGCTGGCACGGAAGCTTCTGGTTCAACGTCGTGTCAACGATTATGTGGTCCTCGTGATACTACTTAGCACACGAAACATCCTGGACACTTCCAACCACCCATTGACAGCTGAATGTCTCGTGGTTGAGGTTACGTAAGATCTTCGTCGTCATCAGACACGTGA